AAGGATGACCCTGTGAAATTAGAAAAAGGCACTCCTTTCCCCAGTCACTTTACCACCATCAGCTGGAACGTTGTTAGACTAACAATCCACATGGACAATCCACACAGCTCTGAGTGCGGCCACCCAGAGTCGGACAATGCCATCTTAATTGATGGGAGAGTGGAAGCCAAATTTTAATCGCAACACTTTCAGTTACTTTAAAATATCATTTCTCACCTTTGGGACTCAGTTTCCTCACCTGAAAACGATTGAACTAGATAACCTCTTCAAATGCTGTTTTGAGCAACTGTGAGGTGTTTTCTAGCATAAGGAGCATTTCACTAACTCTTTAATTACATCCTCCTCTTGCTTCAGTTTCCAGACTATTTAGGTCTTCACTTAAAGTGGCTCTGCACAATCAGACTTCTTCCAGTCCCTTTTCTCCCAGATCAGGACAATCTCTCCATTGAAAAATAAACATTCTTTAAAATTACTTTGCATTTATTTTTAACAATTCCTAAAGGAGGTCATGGGGCATGAGCATTTCCCATAGCAGAAGCCCCACTCTGGGGCTGGCCTCCCCTAGATGCACTTATGGAGGGCCTCACAACCAGGGGGACAAGTCTTACATCTTTCCCGGAGCCCCATGCCTTTGCTCCTTCTAGCAGTCCAAGAGCCATGGTTTTGGAAGTCGTCACAAATGGAGGTGCGTTTTCTTCCCTATGGTCCTTCCATTAGATCGTTCTAATTGCAGGACATTCCGTATCTTTGGCCCTCACCCACTAAGTACCACAAACAACTCCCTAATCATTAGGACAACCAAAAAAACACCTCCCCTGCCCCAATTCCAAACAGCCCCTTTAGAAGCGGCACCATCTCTCGTTGAGAAACTGTTTTAGCATCAAATTGCACTCTGGCCCTGGAAATTTGCCTCTGAAGCATGCCACTCTATGGCTGCCAGAAGCCACAAAGGCCATAAACCTCTTTCAAGGAGAGTGTGAAAGATTATACAGTATTTAAAAGAGTGCATTGCTCATGGTTTCTCCGAAAAACTGGGCTCTTTGTCTCTGTCATAACTAAGGAACCTGAAATTCAAACGAATTTTCTAAGGTCACTCTTTAAATAATGGGCCTAGTTGACTCTACAAATAAAATCCCTTAAGAACCTAGAGTCTTCGTATACTTACAATGTGCATCATAATGCTTTTGATAGAGTTGTCATTTATCGATTGCTTCCATGGACCAGCCCTTCACAGATCTCATTTATCCTTTCCTCAGTTCTGTGGGAGTGAAGACTCGTGTTCCCTTACACGGATTAGAACACTGAGACGTAGAAAAGCAAAGCAGTTTGACCAGGCTGTCACAGTTAAGGAAGCAGCAGAGCTAGGATTCAAACTGAAAAATGAAAAGCTCAGTTTCACCGCCTTGGCCAAGAGCCCTGGTGCCTTTTTTGATGGCTTTCTTTCAAGTAGTAGGAGAGCTAACTGAAATCCCTAACTTACGAGCCGGGCTGTTGACTGGGACACGAAAAACAATTATTTTGCACTGGGTTCGGCCAGAGATGTTATTTTTCATTATTGCTAGGACTGCTCCCAGCAGGGTCACCTCATTAGCTGAGGAAAATGTCCCCTGTTGTTCCGTGAGAGATGGATCAGATGGAGAAGCGTAAAAACAAACTCTAAAAAGTGATTCTCTGTTCCCCTCGTTTAGGGGATGGAACAGTAATCCCCTTCTTTTCTGATTCCCAACCTCCTAAGTGATGTTTTAGCTCTGTAGTTGTAGAAGTGTTTTGAAAAGGATGGAAAAAGTTTTATAGAGTTGCCTTCCAAAACTCTTTATCAGTGTTCCCATAACAGAGTAAATTGGGGAGTTGAGCCATTAGTGAGTATACTTAATACTCTGGTCTGTTTTAAATTTCCCCATGTAGGAAAATAAGAGTTTGGCTAGATTGGGCCTCATCGGCTATGAGGAATAACTAATAACTAACAGTGAGGCTTTCATATTTTTAAATTTCTATTTTATTTTAGAACGGCCTCAAATGCAAACACTTCATCAACTGTATTGAAAGACCTATTGATAGACATCTCCCAAGCCATGTGTCACAGAAACCACCCATAAAACCCTGTCATTTTGCTCCCTTTGCTTCCCATTATCTAGAGAAAAACCAAAGCACTCTTTTCAAAATTACATTCGATCACAGGATTTTTGTCTCCTTTAGGATAAAATCAAAATGCTGCATCATGGCCCACCAGGCCTGCGTGTAGCTGTTCCTCACCCCTCTGAGCCTGCCTCATCCCTCTTCTTCTCACTCACGTCCCTCCCACCACTCCATTTTTATGTCAGGACTCCCGCATTTACTGTCCCTCTCTGGACCATTGTTCCCTCCTGATCTCAGCTTGGCTGATCCTTTCTCATTGTTCAAGTTTCAGCTCAAATCCCATTTTTTCTGAAGATTTATTTATTTATTTGAGAGAGAGAGAGAGAGAGAGAGAGAGAGCAGGGGGAGGGGCAGAGTCCCTGCTGAGCTCTGAGCTCCACACCCAGGGCTCCATCTCACAACCCTGAAATCATGACCTGAGCTGAAATCAAGACTCGGACACTTAACCGACTGAGCCACCCAGGCGCCCCTCAAATCCCATTTCAAAAGAAAATTGCTCCCTGATTTCCTAAGTTGTTCATCCCTTTATCTCCAGTCATGTTATGTTCTTTTGTTCTATTTTTCAAAAGAAATTTTTTCAGCATTTGAATTGTTCTTATTTATTATTTTTACTTGTTTAGTTTCTGTTAAACTAAAGCATAAGCAGGGACTTCTCCCATCTTGTCTGTCATGGTACTCCATGCCTAGAATATTAGTATATGTGTTGCCGAAGCGAGCACCCCCATGCCTAGAATAGAACCCAGTGTATATACGTGGGCATGGGCTCAAAAGTATTTGTTAGACGAATGAATGAGTGAATGAATTCCAGGTCTGTGCCTAGAATGAAATAGAAGTCTCAGATGAATACCTAAGTCACCAAAATATTTATTGAGTTGTGTAGATCTACATAAATATGGAGAAGCTGAGATTAAAATCGAAATTATAACGTTCCTTTTTATTATTCCTCGCTCTGCCTGTCAAGAACAGGGATTCTGTTGGGAAATGGAGACAAAAGCCAAGGCATGCCCAGAACTGCTTCACAGGGAGAAATTTCCGACCATGTTGTAGCTCTCTGGAGGTAACCTTCTCCCTCTGTAAGATACAATTCTCCTGCTCACTCCAGCAGGCCACGCTGATTCTTAACAAAATCTTCAAGGTGAACATCAGACCAACCCCAGATGTCCTATTTTACACTAGCTTCCAGGCCTCCTAACCTGCAACAAATGAATCTTTTGACATCCCTCTACTTAACACCCTCCCTACCACAGTGGGGACACCAGTCACCTTATCTCTTCTGCTGGCAGTGAACTCGTATGGTCTGAAGTCTTTGGGTTTGAAAATAAATCACCTTTCTTCCAGTGCCTGTATATGTCCCAGATGTCCTTTTATTGAGTTCACAGAATACAAATGGAAAAAGGTTATTACCAGACAGAAGTGTTTAAAAATGAAAATCAAACCTAATACATGGACTCAGACAACTGGAATAAGGAATATAATATTTATAAAACTGAGTAGGAGGCTGCAATCATTGCTCTAAAATAAAGCATTAAAAATTAATTCAGAGCAAACTTGTCTGTGCTACAGCAAACCTCTCTTTCATTAAGGTAGCACTGCATGTTTCCGCAGAATTAGTTCCCCAAAATAGGTAAATAGCTTGTAAGAACTGAGTGTTCTGCAAACTACAGAGGATCTACCTGAGGCACGATTTAGAGTTACCTTTAGTATTAGAGCATGACAGACCTTGAATTTTGAACCAATTAATTGTGATTCTTGCAGATTCTCTACATTTTTTTTGTCCTTGAGTATTACCAGGAAAGTTTAATTCATATGATTCTTACTCATTTTGATTTGATTAATCCATTGGTACTGTATCATTTGATCCATTTGTATGTTGCAGAATATTAAATATTAGGAAACTCGGGATGCCAGTTATAAGTTACACTTTTAAATTTTGTATAGATTTTTCATTTCAAAAATTTGTATTCCACATTTTAAATGTTTTCTCCCAGTCTTCTTCTTGACATTATTTTTATCATCATCATCATCATCATCATCATCATCATCATCTTTCCTACCTTGCCATATATTAAAAAGAAAGAAAAATAAAACTGCTAGTGTTATCTCTGCATTTATTGTTGAGATGAGGTTTTTATTTCTCTCAATTTATACTATTCCTCTGAAGCCCTAAAATAAATAACCTTATAACCTCTAGGCCCTATTGATTTTTGAATGATTTCAAATAAAAAGCATCCAGTTTCCATTGCATTGACAAACTGCTCAGTCCCTAGGCAGAACCTATTGGATTCCTTTTAAATGGAGGGACAAGAAACAACCAAAATTCCAAAAAGTGATTTTGAGATGGAGGGAAGAAGGGTGGTCTCCGCTCAGCTCAGTAAATGGGTATTTAACCTTTGACCAATGATGACAGGTCTCCTTTAGTTCTTTTAGACCAAGAGCAAGCTGTTATGATTAAATAAAAAAGAAAAAAACTGCTTAGAGCCTTGCTGAATATGTCCTGGGAATTAAAGCATATGGCAGGGATAAGGAAAAAAGATTTTCCTTATGCTAATGACCCTTGATGTCTGAAATAAATTAGATCCATTAGAGTTTATGCTCAATAAAAGAAAGACTTTAAGCACTCCAAAGTTAGTGACTCGAGACCAGTTTTGCTCTGAAATTCAATCTGCCTACTTATTAATTCTTGGTGAGGCTCCAGAGCAGACAGGAGATGCGAAATCATAATTCTGTACTGAACCAGAATCTTAAAGGACCACAGGTTTCTTTTCCTTTTCTTTCAATTAAACCATTTTTCATGCTTCTTACTTTGTTTCCCTCATTAATTTGATTTTGTTCCCATTTTTGTTTCATTTTTTGTTCCTTTCAAGGTTTCCTTTATCCTATTTCAACTGAACAGAGAACCCAGAATGAATATGGATTTTCTTGTAAGTTTGATGTTTGGTTTTTATGTTGCTGAATAATCATTTAACGTGATTGCCCCCAGTTCAAGTTTACCTTTCTTTGGATCACAGATGTGCACACAGGAAATAGGCGCCTAATATATTCTAACATGAAAAACAAATTAGATTTTCACTGCCGAAGAGAAGAAAGGAGGGTCATTTTAAGCCACCGCCAGCTTTCCAATCTATCAGTCTGCCATTCAATCCCAATAGCTGACAAACCATATCATGAAATATGCTGATCTAATAACAGGCCTGGTTCCAATGCTAAATAGTAAAGGGGTGAGAAAAGGCAGATCTGTTGAGTTAGGAAACATTCAGGTTGGGGAAGTAATTACAGCCTGGTAAAGTAAAACCGTAAGGATTTAGATAGAATATTCTGGCTGGAGTTGAGAAGGCTGCAGCAGGGGCTCGAATACTGCCCAGCTGCACAGTGCGGTCCAGGCTCAGAAAGCAGTGCTCACGCAATCGGGAAGGTTTGAGCTGTCATTGGGATTCTGAAAAGATCTGTTGATATCGACATGATGGATGGGAAAGCGCATATTCTGGAAACTTTGGGAAAGATAATAGTAAAAAAACAAACAACCCCTCCCCCAAAAAAAACCCAAACCTCTCACATACAGTGCATTTAGACACAAAATGCCAAAAGAGATGGAGCAGTAGCCAACAGGGAATTCCTTTATACTGTCCATGTGTCAAAGAAACATGTCAAAGACCCCAGAGTTTGGGTGAGCCATTGGCAATCTGCATGACAAGTCATTTGCCCACTATGTGGCTGTGTGTCTTAGGACAGAATCATGGCTCCTCAACTCTTAGGAGGCCCTGGGACTTAGATATCTGAAAATTCCCTGCCCCCAAAATGCATGTGTATATAAAATAGAGCAGAAAAAGGCTGTTCTTGACCCCCTGAAATACCAGTCTAATCTCCTCTTTTACAGTGATTGGAAAAGCTTTGGTTAACTTTGCTGAAAATGTTTGTGGGTCACACAAAACTAAAAACAGACTTAAAGGTGCCTGGGAAGTTCTTGGAAAGGTTCCATCTTGTTCGTTTTTTTTCATTTATCAGCTTCTATCACCTTTTGGGGTTGGATCGAAGCATGTTCTACACCACCAAGGCAATATGCAACATTTACAGGCATTTTCCTCTGGCTTTACCCAGAAACAGACCCCCAACTGACTGCACACTGTGTTGGTCAAATGCTTAATTGCCTTCTGGGGTAGTCTGACCTTTTTGATCACTTAACCAGGCCTTTATGGTACTCAGTGCACCATCTAGACATATTTGATTCAGTAACGAGTAGTTCAAATGTAAATCTCTGACCAGTGACCATGAGAAGCTCACGGTTCTCAGATGTAATACCGAATCCATTTCAAAAGCCTGGAGTTATCGGCATTGACCTCTGCTTCCCAGATCTGGGTCTTCTGAAAGCACACCTTTTAAACCCAACATGTTTGCTTCTAATATTTGTTTTGCTTAGTTACGTACACCATTCCCAGCCACCCCTTCCTTGATTTAGGGGAAAGTGAGAAGACTGTTACGGAAAGTGATTTTATGACTTGGAATGATACTTAGAAAAATATTCTAGTTCAATAAATACACAGATTCAGGACATGCCAGATATTTCTAACAGTATTTATGTTTATGTTTTTGGGGAAATATCAGTGAATTCAAAGCAGCCTTCCAAACTTTTTCACCTGAAACTGGTAATGAACTTTGTTTTTTTCCCTGTGGGTTGGGATGGTTTCAGTTCCAGTTTCTTTTTATGCCTTCTAATAAATGGTCTGTTATGCTGCCCAATTTAAGATAGATTAGTGGGTGGATAGATGCAGAGTGAGAAAGAAAAAGAAATCAGAGATAATTTTCCACTGAAAGGCCACAGTCGTTTTATACAGCTTTTGAAATAGATTTGAAATTAACCTATAAAAAAAGGCAATAAATGTCTGAAAAAATTACAGCAATATGGATGTGTACTGTGGGAAATTTCTCTAAGCAGTTGGTCTGATGTTTCCTTGTCCTCCCCAGCTGCTCCTGACTCAGATGATGTTGCTCTGTATGTCGGCATTGTGATAGCCGTGATAGTTTGCCTGGCCATTTCTGTAGTGGTGGCCCTATTTGTGTATCGCAAGAACCATCGCGACTTTGAGTCTGATATCATTGACTCCTCGGCACTCAATGGAGGCTTTCAGCCTGTGAACATCAAGGCAGCGAGACAAGGTCAGTTAACATTGCACTTCACACCTGCAGTTTAGGCACGTCAGCAGCCTCCCCGTGTGGTGTCAGAATCAGTGACGTTCAGGTCATGTTGTTCGGCTCGAACATAAGCTCCATGAAGACATGGATTTGGGTCTGTTTTATTCATTATCCTGTTGACTTCATTCATATAACCAACCAGAGGAGGCAAGGTGCACAAATCATTTTTTTTTCTTAACAGGTTTCTCTGTCATACTTTTAAAAACTTTCACTTTAAAAGACCACACAGATTGGTTGACTGATTTCTTACATCTCCTTTTTCTTTTTTTTTCTTTTTTTTTTTTTTTTGGCCTCTTGACAAGACCGCTTGCGTTGATACGAATGGAGTGGTGTACAGATGGATGACCTCAAATCCAGTATAGACAAGGGAAACTATTACCTAAGTCACTGAGTGGGGATCACTGTCTTGAAATCCAGTCTGTTGAAATAGATAAATACCTTAGGGGCAATGAGTAGACTTGAAAGCAAAATTTAGAATTAACTTGTCTCTTTGTTTGTAGCCAATAATAAAATGGATCACAGTAATCTCATTGCCCTGTTTTCAACAGAACCTTAGAGTCTATACATCTCTAATATTGACTGAGTTCATTTGTTTTTGGCTCAGAAAGTGTCAGGGGGGAGCCTGACTAAATAGAAGTAGCCTGAATGGAGAATGCAAATGGACTTCCTTTCTCTTTCTGACTCAGATCTCCTGGTGGTACCCCCAGACCTCACATCGGCTGCAGCCATGTACAGAGGACCCGTCTATGCTTTGCATGATGTCTCAGACAAAATCCCAATGACTAACTCTCCAATTCTGGATCCACTGCCCAACCTGAAAATCAAAGTCTACAACACCTCAGGTGCAGTCACCCCCCAAGATGACCTCTCTGAGTTTGCATCAAAGCTGTCTCCTCAGATGACCCAATCCTTGTTGGAGAACGAGGCCCTCAATGTGAAGAATCAGAGTCTAGCAAGGCAGACTGACCCATCCTGTACGGCATTTGGCACCTTCAACTCTCTGGGGGGTCACCTTATTGTTCCCAATTCAGGTAATTCCTAGATGTTTAAATTACATAGATCTTGAAAACATATTTTTGTACCCAAATCTTTTTCACTTGTTTGTTTTCATGAGGCCTAAAAAGTTAGTTGTAGACTAATCTAACCCAAATCCACTTTCGATGTAAATCAACATTGCTTCAGACAAAATCAGCAAAACCATTCATCTTTCTCCAACCGACTCTGAAAATGCTTCCTCTAAAAATATTATACTCACAACCTTCTGCCAAGGTATAATTTAGAACTGTCATTGACCTTCTTTGTACTAGAGCTTCAGAAGGCAACGGCAAGCCAGAAGTGCTCACTGTTGTCATCACACTTTAAAAGGACAAATTAATTAGAAAACATATTAGTTGGGTAGCTTCCAATTTACTGTAGGAAGCAATACTTCAGAATACTAATTTTCAGATCAGAGGACATCATGGTAGACATCAGATCTTCATTTATTAACTCTTTATTACACAGTCTTCAACCTCAAGGTATTTGTAAGGTACTCACTCCCACTTCTGATAGATCTGTCTGGAATCACAGCCTTATTATGTGTAGTGTGTATTTGTAGTATAATTGAATTTTCAGCTTATCATTTAGTTACCTGCTTCTAGAAGATAAGTCTCATAAAGGTCTTACAAGGTGAATTTAAGTGAGTGACTGATAATGTTTGATTAAAGTTTGATATTCATTAATCAGGAAGGGGTTTACATCTATTGGTCCTAAGAGGGTTAATGGATTCCTCTGTGAATCTATCTTCACTCTTTTGGACAAGACTGAGTATTTTGCAGATACAGCAATAAGAAACGATTTGATTGACCTAAAGTCCTCATGTAGCATAAGAAAATAATATAATGTGTAAATAGCCATACAGCCAAGTACTATACAGAACAAGTGGATCTGCAGATCTGAATATGAACTTGTCTTTGATTCTTTCTCTTATTCAGTCCCCCATTTCAGTGCCTTGCCAATTTGTCACACCATCCCTTTAAAAGTGCATTTTAATAAATTCAAATCCTTAATGGAATATCATTTTTCCTTTTATCTATACATTTTACATAGCTGAGATCATACATTATATATACTTTTTTCACCTTTTTCTCTTTAATTCTCATGCTATTGTATGCTCTTTAAAATCATGAACCTAAAAATATATTTTTTTAAAGTCTATCAAATAAATAGATCAAAATATACTCTATTGTTCTTTTATTGTTTAAACATGATATTACTCTCAAGGCAGTTTTTTTTTTCATGATATTCACTGGATTCTACCTTTCCTTCCCATTTCTACACCTGTCATTTTTTCATATATGAATTATTATAAAAGCTTCTTAAGTGGAAAGGAGGGAGGTAGCATGTAGTAAATACTTTCCATGTACTAGGCAGTGGTGATTTACAAACGTTATTTTACAATAAGTTACCTAATCTGTGTCAGGCCTTACTCTTATTACTTTACATTCATAGTTTTATTTCATTCCTATAACATAAAGGTACATGTAATTGTTTCCAATAGAAAAAAATAAAAATGCCAAGGGTTGGTAGGCTCATGAGTGGTCTTCCTGCGTCCACTCTGTGCCTCAGCAAACTATTCTATGCCCGAGGATAACATTCTGCTTCCCACAGCACCACAGCTCTGATGTTAACTTTTCTTCTCCAGAAGGCCAAGACTCATTTTCAACCAGTCACACAAAGGCCTTTGAATAACTGTTCCTCCTTCGCTCTCCAGTCTTTATTCTTGGGACTTCCCAACACGGTCGGGCAAGTTTCCTTATTGCCCTCTGCTCATTTGGCATATTCCATGTCCTCGCTAATTAAATTATAAGTTACTCGAAGACAGGAACACGGTCTTTCACTTCCTGGCATTCACGGTTCTGCCAGACATGATACTCACCACGGTGCTCCATAAATTTTTATTGAGCTGAAAAGAAGCCCCATTCATTGGAATAAAATCATGGAGACAAGTATCTTCAGGGTGCTGCCCACCCTGAATTATTCTTCGTGATGATGCCGCTGTGGTGCAAGCAGCTGCTTACAGTGTGTCCACGGACCACCATCATTGATTGGTGTCACCTGGCAGCCGACGGGACGTACGCATTCTCTGGGCCCCCTGAGTCAGAAACCCTGAACGTGGGACCCGGCGATGTGTGTTTCAGCAAGCCCTCCAGGTGATTCTGATACAAGCTCAAACCGAGAAGCACCGCTGTAGGCCCAGTTAATTTAGAACAAAGCTCGATCCCCTAGGCCTACAAAATGGTATCAGTTAGCAACTACGTAAAAACCTGCTTGGCCTGCCATGACTCAAAACTAGCAGTTGTCTCGTTCATTTTCTAGAGTTATGCATGATGAAAGAAGTTGTTCACCAATTATTTTTCTGTTACGGAAAAACACTGATGCTAACCAGATATTTCAGAAATAAATGTTTTTTGATATCATGGAGGTTAGCATTTCCCTCACTTTGAATTTTGTGGGGATTTTTTTTTCTTAAATTAGAAACGATGCATCATTTACAGCTGTTTGAAATTTTAAGAGCGGTTGTTGGTTTTCCCCTCATTTTACAAGGAAAACAACAGGGGAACCATCTGTCTATTCCTTAAATAAAACAAGAGTTTAAAAAAATGACATCATTCCTTTGAGTAATTCCATAACAGTTCAGAGGGAGCTGTGTTAACAAATAAGGCCAATAAGGAAGGAAGGCAGGGCAGCTATGACTATTTACATGTCTTTAGAGAAAACGCAGGCTTGTGGCTACATGGCCACAAAATCTCCTCATTCCCTTTCACTTCCTTCAAAGGCATTCTGTGAAGTTTCCTTTTGATTCATAGGTCTTATGTGACTGCTTTTCTCTTTTGCTATTCAGGAGTAAGCTTGCTGATTCCCGCTGGGGCCATTCCCCAAGGGAGAGTCTACGAAATGTATGTGACTGTACACAGGAAAGAAAATATGAGGTAAATATGCTTTTTCTGGTGCGCTTGACTTTATCAATGTCTGACCTGGAGGAGAATTGTGCAATAGAAAGAAGACACCCAACATATTTTTGTCTTGAGTGCCCTGCTTCCAGCATACCCTTTTTTTTCCTAGACCTCTGAAAGGTCAGCTTCTCTTTATCTTTGAAGCTTCAGACACTTTTGCAAATCTTGAGTTCTCAAGTGGACATGTGGCCATTATAGCTGGAAAAAAAATGGCCAGAAATGTGATCCATAGATTGTCTAGAGAGATACGTGGGTAGACACAGAGACATCAGCTTCATGTGGCCTGGCTCAGGAATCCAGCCCTTTCCCATTATAGGGTCAAAGGTCACAGAGATTAGACAACCCCTTAACCTCTGACCTGCCACCTCCATGTCAGCCTGGCACTTTATTCTCACCTGCGCTTCTCCTTTTTGTGAGTCCCCCTAGCTTAAGTGTTATCAACCTCCTTCTTAAGTTCGGCACTTACAAATTCCATATCGAGCCTTTCTAAATGTTGATCTAGGGTTGATTAAAGCCAGATTGGATCATGAGGCTTTGTTGTGAATGTGTCGTAATCATAAAGATGAGGTAATTTTAAGTAAAAATAACAAGAGGAGTTTAAAAGTCCTAAATTCAATTTTCAGTCTGGCCTCTAACAAATCTCACAAATGGTCTCTCTTGGTTAGTTCCCACATAAAACGCGTGTATTAAATAGTGCTTTAAATGCCTGACTGATTAATGCTTCTGAAGTACGCTGAGATCTTAAAATGAAAGACGTCGTTGAAATGAAGATCCTTACATGTAATTATCATTGTTTTTCCCAAGGGGAGAGGCACTGGCTCTTCAGCCCTGAGCTCCACATACAAAGCCTGAGTGACAAATGTCGAACTAGGTTATCATTATAATGCATTATACCTTCTGTCTTCCCTCTCTCATCCTCAGAAAAACATCCATTTTTAGTCTTGTTCTTCAAAGGCCAAGAAGCTCTTTTATCATGCTCTCAGGAGGAGATATTGGTATTTGTTTTTTTGTTTTTTTTAAAGGTTTTATTTATTTATTTGAGACGGAGAGAATGAGAGACAGAGAGCATGAGAGGGAGGAGGGTCAGAGGGAGAAGCAGACTCCCTGCCGAGCAGGGAGCCCGATGCGGGACTCGATCCCGGGACTCCAGGATCATGACCTGAGCCGAAGGCAGTTGCTTAACCAACTGAGCCACCCAGGCACCCCGAGATATTGGTATTTGTAATCTGTAGGACCCAGAACATTTTTTTCCTCAGGTGGTGTACTTTCACCTAGACAAACACTAGCCATTCTAATGACAAAGTTCCTTGAGTATTATTCATGCCTTAAATTTGAGCAACAGAAAATTACTAAAAGGCTCGTATTTACTCACATCAAATATTCATTTTTTTCATTCTCAATGCACAGTAACATTCACAGGCCCTCAGCGTGCCCTTCTCTTGCGGCAGGAGAAATGAAGAGCAGCAAACTCTCAGATCCCTGTATATACTTTCTGTCTTCTTCCTCCTGTCAAAAGTCAAGGTTGGCACCAAGTACATCCACCATTCAAGGCCTTTGCCAACACAGACATTTTGTTGAAACAGAAATGAGGATTGGCTTGTGCTTTATGCTGAGAAGCAATGAGGTATTTGTGTCTCTTCTTGTCCGTCTGACCACCACCATCAAGGCTTAAAGGGCTGCCACAGGGGCATGCTGTGGCTGAAGGGTGTGTGCATTCGTGCGCCTTGTATGGTTTTCCTTTCCATGGCCTAGCCAGCACCCTGGCCGGAATACTTGTGCATTTTAGATGAAAGAAAGAGAAAACAAAACACTGATAAAGCTAGACACTTCCGCTTTGAGGTTCCTCTGCCTTTGACTCTAAAGAAAAGGAAACTATAAATCACTTCTCACCATCCCCGCCACCTGAAGTTAGGTGCAGAGGGAGTTACTCTATTGAACTCGGTGCACATCAGAGAAGTTCTGTTTATAAAAATGAAGCTAGAAAAACCCCCAAGATCTCAAAAGAAAATACGCACAAGAGACCATAAATCAAGGCACACACACAAGAAGATACCTGTGGCAAATAATGAGAAATTCCTCCCTTCGCTTATTTTCTGTTGTGAACTAGATGCATTTTTCTTGTAAAAACACAATGACAAAAATGTGTTTTAGGATATCTTCGTAACAGAAGGCATAGTTCCATTTATTCACCCTACTTTTAATTTCATTTATTCCTCACTGCAACTCTGTGAGTTATGATGAGTTCCAATTTAAAGATCAAAAAACTAGTGCTGTGGGGAAAACAAGTCCCATAGCCGAGTTTTCACAGCTAACAGCTGAGGGAAGGCAGAATTCACAGCCAGGTGATCTCACCGCGAACCTCTTCTGCTGTCTCACAGGCCATCCGTCCCTCCTTTGTAGACAGCACCACGGCACACCGAGCCTCTGCTTCTTACTCTAGTGTATTCTTGAACCCAGTTTCTTTCTACTGCTCACTGAGCACCCTTTCTCTCCTCACATGATCTGAGACAGAACTTCTAAGAGAAGACATTGGGAGGACAGCAGAAGATATTGAATGTTGCTTCAAGTCACTTGTAGGACAATTTTGATCATTTTCCTCCATTTTCTTCCTCTCCGATTCCCTTTATTGCGTCCAAAACTGGGTGTTTTTCCAGCTGGCTGGTATCCAGCTGGTCATCTGCTGATGTGAACTGTCTAAAGGGAGGCGTGAACTTAATTACATGTGGCACAGTGGATGTGACAAGGGGGCCTTATCATTACTGAATGTGCTCTAAGAGAGAGTCCCGAATGGCAAATGAGCAGCCTAAATGAGCTGCAGAGATGGGACAAGCTTTCTCTGACAAGGGGGCAAAGCTGCAGGGCCATGCTCATGATTTCTACCTCTCCCGCTTTACAGATCTCGGGAGGGGCCGCCAAGCCTCTGTCTCCCCGTGGATACAATTTCCATGATTCATGGCACTAACGTGGACCTTTTTGCCTTGTTTTCAGTAGCAGTTTTTTTTTAAAAAAAAGGAATGAGTCTGACTCAGACTGAAATTTTGCTCTTTGTAATTTCTTTTTGAAAAATAATCTGAATTCAAAATACCAATGTTAATTTTCCCTTCCTCTGTATTCTGTCCTCGCTTAGCAGTTTTCTCAAAAGGCCAGGAAATCAACTTAGACATTCCAAATATAAAGGTAAATAGAACTTTTTTGGTAAACTGTGGGGCGCCATGAAAGGTCTGTGAGCAGCCAAGTGATACGAGAATAGCAGTGCATTTTTTTTTTAAGATTTTTTTTATTTATTTATTTGAGACAGAGAGAATGAGAGAGACAGAGAGCACACGAGAGGGGGGAGGGTCAGAGGGAGAAGCAGGCTCCCTGCCGAGCAGGGAGCCCGATGCGGGACTTGATCCCAGGACTCCAGGATCATGACCTGAGCCGAAGGCAGTCGCTTAACCAACTGAGCCACCCAGGCGCCCTAGCAGTGCATTTTAAAGATTGCACTGGTGAAGAAGGTAGGCTGGACGAGTTGGTGGAGGGAACAGGAAGACTCCTTGGAGGCTGGCTGCCTGGGTGAGCTGTGGCGATAAACTAGGTGTGAGGGGGGAGGGGAAGAAGCCAGGCCTGAGTCTGGAGGATGGAAAGTGAAATATATTTCAGAAAAAAAAAAAAAAAAATTTCACCACCAGTTAGAAGTGTTGCAGAAGAGTGTCAAAACACAATATGAATATGTAGGAACCGAGCTTTGGGCACTGGGAAAATTGTGAGCGCAACTGGTTCCAGGAAGCAGGACAAATTCTGATTTAGATGTGGGCAGTGTGTGCCGGACATTGGTGGCCTTTAGGATTTTTTCGAAGAATGAAATCCCAGTTAAGAAGGTGTGAGTTAAGAAGAGAACAGGGGAGAGAGCTTTGGGAAACATTCCTACTTCAGGTTTGGGTGCAATAAGCCAAGCTAAGTAGAACACTTTAAGGATCAGGCAGATAACTACAGAGTTTGCATCTGACATGGTGCTGAATACCGAGCAGCTCCTCAATGAATATTTTTGAATGAAAGAATGAATGACTATAAGTATAATGGGGGAAAAAATCAAAAGCAAAGAGAGTTTCAAGATGGTCAAGTGGTTGGCACAGGTATTATTAAAATTAAAATGTAAAGAAAGACTAATGCAAGCAATCACTGGATTTGTCAACTGCCGGACATTGGTGGCCTTTGGGATTTTTTCAAAGAATGAAATCCCAGTTAAGAAGGTGTGAGTTAGTGATGAGACAATGTAAACTATCCTCAGTACTATAGGTACTGAGTATAAATAATAAAATAGTATGTTAGGATAGCGGGCCAAAATTCTGCTATGTAAGTAATCGTATAGCAGAAAGTTTTCATTTATTTAACATGTTTTTGGAACTTGGTAAAATAGTAGTTGACATTATTATTTCTCAGTGAAACTCAATGATATTCCCCTTTTTAGGGCTCAAGTCCTTATTCCAACGTACAGCTATATAAAAGCTACAGGTGTGGGGGAAGAGAGTGGAGTCCAAGTATATTTAAATCTTATTCTCTCACTGTTCTCCACAGTGTTCATATACCGCAATCCTACTTATAAAGAAATGGTTCAAGGTGATTTATGAAAACACAGACTTTACAATGGGAGGAAAAAAATTATAAATAAGTCGATGAAAAAAAAGAAAATGAGAAAAAAAATAAGATTTGAAAAGATAACAAAGTCAGGTGAGCAGTTAAAGTATAAAACATCTCATGTGATTCCCAGTGTATTTCCTGGTAACAGATCATGAATTTACTGTTCCAAAGTTTTCAAGAGGGGAACGTGGTAAGTTGCAAAATCCACGTGTCCATGAGGACAAATATGCCCAAAAGAAGTTCAATTATTTCTCCTTTTGTTCCACATAAAGAAAACATTTTTTTGTTAATACAATGAACAACATCCTTAAAATAAAAATAGCAATGAGTCTTCACAGGGCTCCTTCCCTTCTGTTAGTGTCCCGCCATGTAAGTAGACGGTATAAGGCCCAGGCAGAAATTCAGCAAAATAGTTCCACAACAATTCATCGGATCAGGCAGAGCATAATACTTAGCTGTTCTGGCTTCACCCAGGGATAGATTCTGGCTTGTCTAGGGAAATGGTGGCATGCCCTTCAGAGTGGCTTCCATAAATTTTTTTTTTTTTTTTTTTTTTTTGCTCAATTGAGCTTTTGATAGCAATTGAGTTAGATATTCCCTGTCAGATACCCAGAGTGCAAATGTTTCAAGTTGCCAGTTATATGTGAAGCCACGTGCTTCAAAAGGCAGCGGAGCCTCGGGTGGGATTGTCATCCTAAGGGACCTGACAAAAGACATGCACGTTAATAGAAGGCATCTTGTCTCCACAAAGAGGTGGATGGAGACAGATTCTCTTCAAGAAGTAATTTTGAGCTTGCTCTAGCAAATACACCAAAAAAAGAAAAAAAAAGTCTCAAGGCCCTAAATCAGATAAGCAACCCCACAGACACCACTGTATGAAAGAAACCAGATCACTTGTGCTTGAAATCTAGCTTTGCCTGTTACTAGTTTTGAGGCCGTAGGCGAGTGTGTTAATATCTCTAGATTTCAGTTTCCTCTTCTGGAAAAAGAAGTGATACAAATACTTACCCTAATTCCCTTCCAGGTGTGCCGTAAGCAGCGAATGCAGTTGCTTTTATGAAAGTTTTGTAATGTATGCCCTTCTGTGTAGGAGAAGTTCTCCTCACTGATAACAGCAAGCAAAGGATGAGAAAAGCACTCTGACAGGAAACTCAAACTCCTCTCTGAGGGGCTTTGTCCCAGAGGCTTCAGAATCCATCCAGCATTTACCACATTCTCCTCTCTGGACTTTGAAAGGCCTTGAAAACTTTAATTCATTACTGACTTTTGACTTAAGAGCTGCTTCTGCAGCTGATTTTTGCTTTGTGTTCATTTCCATGTCATCTGCAGTTAATATTTAGAGAATGTTAGCTGAAATATCTCAGGTAACACATAAGACATACAGGAGTGGAGCTCTCTGCAAAAACATGAGTCAGGCTTATTTATATTTATTTTCCACTAGTTTTGTTCTGTGTATTTTAATATCTTCTCTTCATGTAAAGAAAGGAAATGTGGATTTAAACGCTCTGACCTTTGGTTTCACATAGTTAAATCTTAATCTTCCTTAAGTCACTCCTTCCATATATGCTTGGAAATGTTTCCAGTTTCAACACTACTTCTTTCATCTTGAAAACAAAAAGATTCTTATCATTATTTCTTCTTTGTTTTTCATTTCCCATTATGAATTCCACTTCACCACTTCCCTATTCATTACATTCTTGCACCTCACTGGGTTAATAAATTCTTTTGACACCTACTGCCCCTTCCTTCCCTTGCTATCCCTCCTCCAAGAATGGTGCCCATCAATATTGCATGCCAGGGGTGTGCTTGGAGAGTACAGGTCTGACAGCTCCCCAACCCAGCAGGGAGGCTTCTCCCTTCTGTTCCAACTCAGTGATGAGAAGAACCCCTCCTCTTTCTGCCTCAAGCACCGGCTGCTAACAGCAGACTGAGAGACAGATGTTTCCAATCTCCAACTATATTGCAAGGACCACTTGAAATGGATCCCACTTAAATCTCCTTCCTTAAAAGTTTAATGCTCACTTCTCAAGGTACACTTGTAGCTAAAAGGTAAGAGTAGTGCTCACAAAAATGTAGTCACTGCTATTTTTTTTTTTTTTTCCGCCATGGTAGGAAAAGTAGAATTAGCAAGAATAAGGCTACTGCTTAGGACAGATAGTATAATATCAACTACACCACAATGAAACCAGAACTTCACCCATGTACTAAGAGAATGAATTTCAGAATGGAAGGAAGGAAGAAAGACTGGGTTAAGAGGAAATCAAAACTAAGCGATAAAGGGGGTGGTAAAGACTCCTCAAGCTGCCAATAATCTTATTATTCCAAAAAGTATATTTCCAAGTACTTTGATAACTTTAGATTTAATAAAACTGTGTCCTTATTCATTGAAGATGGAAAGAGGGTAAAGACTAAAAGGAGATAAAAATTATTTTTATTTTCTAAATAAGAAGAAAGAAAAGCCCTAGGTTGGTGAGATCCTTGTGAAATTTTAGAATGAGAAGAAGCAGTGATAACCCAAGTTTATTAAGGAGAAAATATGTCAAATATGTCAAAAGGATAATGATTGTCAAGAGCTAATGACTCTCTAAGATTTGACCTTACCATAGCCGCCACAGTTTTGTGGATGCTGATAGATGACACAAGACTCCCGGGTCAGAGACAAAGGACAGTTTGTTACTCACAGCAATAGCACTATCAAAGAGTTTTATCATTTTTGTGCCAATTCCCAAAACCCCATTTCCAAAAGGGAGATGCAGAGAGGATCAGATGATATCTACACACTCAGTGGTTGCATTCCAGGAAGGACCTCTGAGCTTGGAGAACCTGAGTTTTTTATAATGGGAAGTAGACATGCTTGCCATTTGCTCCAAAGATAAGCAGTATCTTTATCTTCCAAGGTGATTGCTATACAGTTGTCTTGAAAAGACATGCAGAAACATGAAAGACCCATGGAGAATTATCTTCCAACAATGTATATATAAACATAAATAAAACAGCTGCCATCATTCCCTGAGTGTTAAATTAGAGTAAGCTATAGATATAAGCTAACTTCTAGATTATTTAGTATTTAATATATTAACTATACATAAAGAAAAAAACTTAGAGGAAAATCCTTTCCAAGTGGCCATCACAATTATAAAGGAATTTGATATGTCCATTATAATATCCAAGTGAATGAAATGGAAAGATGTGAATTGGACAGTGTATATTTTGATTAGTTTATATTTGGCTAAACCAACAAATTCAGATTATAGGTGTCAGACCGGAGAGGGGTTTCAAGTAGTATCTTTGTAAAGGTCTTTGCCCTATTCTTGTACTACAGTGTTATCAATGATAGGAATGAGAACATAAATGGCAGGCATATAAGATTTATGGAGGCTAAAAGACTGGAAGAGTTGGCCGATATTTGGAGGAAAGACAGCATTAAGAAATAGGTGACTTGAAATTTGCTCTGAAACTATTAAGGTGAAATTAAATGGCTAAATATAAATTTCTGTACATAGGTTCAAAAGCCATCACTGCAACCACAAAACTATAGAGAGCTAGCCTAAGAGCCTTTCATGTTAGGAATACACAGAGTGGTTAGCTTTAACAAATTACTTGACCTTCTTGGAGCTTCATTGCCTCATTTTATAAAGGAGATGCTTAACCATATTATCTCCATCTTCCTTTGTAACTCAAGCCTGCAATAATACTTATAAATAATTACTTGACTGAGAATAATATAAGGCAACAATTTGGTGAGGCATTGATATAACTACATATTCCAAACCAAGGAAAATAGTAGTCCCCCTCTGCTGCCTACTTAAGTCGAATATTCATTTCCAGATGCCTCACTTTAGAGAAGACATTGGAATACTAACAGACATCTATATAAAAGTGAAGATAGAAATATAGGGAGATATCTGTAAACCATGCTTTTCTAGTTGAGGTTGAAAAATTGAGGATATTTTGTCTGAAATAAGACGTTTTAGAGGCATCATAACAATCTCTGGATATTTGAAAGGCTCTGATGCCAAAGTAGAGAGAAAGCAGGCCAAAGATATGTGAAGAGAAGTGTCGGGAAGGCAGATTGTGTTTATCCTAAGAATGTTTTGTAAATTTGAATTGATAATAGATGAGGTGACCCTCAATAGTAGTGGAGTACAATTTTGGATGTGTCCAAAGCACTGTCCAGATGTCAGCATATTGTAGAAGGTTTCCTACTTCGGTTAGAAGGTGGTGCTGTTGACCCCAGAGGCCCTGCTTCCTCTGGAACTCTGAGTTCATGATTTCTTAGCCACACTGTTCTGACAGAGTAGTGTTGAGTATTGTTGTTGAGAAGGCATTGGCTTTAGTCCCAGTGCTAGCACTTGTCAGTTTTAAGACTTTGGGCAATCCGTTCAATAATTTGGGACTGTTGCTCACATATCAACTGATACCTTGGGTTAATTTTTCCATTTGTTTGTTGATTACAGTCATGTTAGGGAAAGGTCTTAAGACAATTAAGAAAACATGTGGAGATAAAGAATTTAGATCTTTGATTTAGATCTTTGAAGTTCTTCCACCCAGATTCTCTGAGTAGGAAATATACAAGTAGATTTCATTTTAAATTCTAGAACTATAGAATACAGTTCTATATTCTGTCTGGTCATATTTGAAAGAAGGAATCTGCTCTACTAGCCTGAATTGTTCCTGAAAGTCATTTGGAAGTGTAGCTCTAGGGTGTCCTTACTCTGAAGTGATTTTTTTTTTTTGAAGTATTTCTCAAGTTAGGTCTTAAAAAAATAAAAGTATATAAAACCCTGTAAGAGCAATGGCAAGTATTATCAGAAAAGATGGTTATGTACCTCCTAAGGACTCTGTTCCTTCTTGTTCCATCCTAAAAGTATCAGTACATGAATTCAGAGGACATTACCAAGGGCAGACCTGTGTCTGGGGGAAGGGGATCAAAGAGATACTGGCTGATTCACTGTTATCATAAGTATCTCCAGTCTTGAAGATTAAATAAAGTCTTGGTATAAAGGACGTGTCTTCCCATTTAATTCTGCCTCTCCTCCCCCAACCGAAAAAACTAAAAAACTAAAACTCCCAAGAAGAAACAATTTGTACAACTTCAGATCTAAAAATCTCAATGAGTACATAGTAAGTGGATGCTATGGAAATGTCACTGATGCCAGTCTCTGCTCTTCTCCTAGGCCAGCCATGGAAGACAGCCAGACACTCTTGACCCCTGTGGTGAGCTGTGGGCCTCCAGGAGCCCTGCTGACCCGCCCCGTCATCCTCACTATGCATCACTGCGCAGACCCCAACACCGAGGACTGGAAGATACAACTCAAGAACCAGACAGCACAGGGACAGTGGGAGGTGAGCTTCCATTGGGTTAAAGATGGAACATAAGAGCAATTCATGCAGACAAACTGGAGTAATTATGGGAAAGAAGGCTTTTATTTTGAAAGCAGAACATGAATGGAATTTTAGCTTACACTCAAAAGGAGAGAGAGAAAGAGGGAGAGAGTGTATGAGAAGAACGGAGGGAGGGAGAGAGCCTAGTTCCTGAATGCTTTATCTCCTGATGGGTAGGCACAATAAAAATGATGGTCAAGCATTAGCTAACTCCTAGGGAAAGTACACTTGAGAGTCTTACACAAGTCCCTGTCAGAACATACATACTGTGTCTTGGGTTGGGAAACATCTATATATTTTTTAAATTTGTAGTTAGAAAAACATTGCTCCTGGGTCAGAAAATGGTAGACATTGTAGACACATACAGGGAATACAGTTCTTCTGAGCTGAACTTGGGAAAACAGAAAGGGTGCATCTCCTAAGCTCCACTAGGATGAAGAACACCTGTGGTGTCTTGGCTCTCTGTGGCTGTTGCCATCATAACTTCTTAAGGACAGTGCCTTAAACAGATCCTGTTCTTTACATCAGAACTCTTCAATTAGCACCTGAAGTTATGAGCAAAAGAATTTGTTAGATTTACCATGAAGATTTTATACCTAGTAACTAGAAAACCATCTTGTGTGTTTGCATCGTCATCTCTTGAAAAGACAGTATCTGTTGTTTAAGCGGGAAATAGCCAAATTAAACATTACATTTTAGAATATTCTCAAGAAGACATATTTCAGGAATATGTTTATCAAAAAATGTCTAATAGTTTTGAAAGCTACCCTTGTATTTTTTTGGATCGTTACAAAGCATCCAACCTATGTATTATATACTTTGTGATTGCTTGTGGTATTTTTCTTTTAGGAAAGACATTTTTAGAAAAAAATGTACATGAAGTTTCAAACCTTTAATATTATAGGGAAAAAAGCAGTATTACAATTAGAAAGGCATCCCTGGGATTACTGTAATTTTCTCCCTAAGGACATGTTCTCTTGGCCACATGAGGGGATCACTCCTTGCCAGAGGACTGAAAGTCCAGGACTCAAGTCTAAGGGTATGCTTTATGTTGGGTTATGAACAGACTTAACAAGCTCTAACTTCCAGTCCATTTAAGTTTGAAATGATTTATCTCGAAAACATCCCAAAGTCTTAATCTCAAGTGATTCTAAATTGTTTGCGTAAGACTCTGCTTAATACCCTAATACCTGTCTATTTCTAGACTTCAGTAATAATAACAGTAACAAAAATAATAAAATGAAATAAAGAGACGGGAAGAGTAGAAGAGGGCAATGCTTAAGAGTATGCTCTTCCACCCATGGCAGGGACATGGTGCATCTTTATTCTCAACCATGTCTTACTGGAAGCTTTCTGTGACAGGCTTCATGGGATATTTGAGCCTTGCCCTCACTCTGCTGGAGGAAAAAAAAAAAGGCACTTCTTTCCAGGTGTCCTTTGGGGCTAAAATAAACCTGAAGGTACTGAGTTTCTTTCTCTCTTTGCCAGTGCAGTTTGAGCTTCATCTTTGAGGACAGGCACAGTTGAAGAAATGATTTCGTGGATGGCATTTAACCCCCCTCCTACTACCCGTCAGATGATGTTGCAAGGCCTAGTTAATAAACAACCACTTTGTTCAGCCCCAGAGACTCAATTTATGATGACACATTCATTCTTTTTTTTTTTTTTTTTTTTTTTGACAAATAGCCGTTTGCTCCCCATGAGCCAGGCCCACTGAGCTACGGTAGGAATCAAAGCAGATGTAGTTCCTACCTCTGTGGAGAGAAAGTAGCCTAGTGTGGAGGTGGAATCAGGCCCACACATGTACTTTACTTCTCCCATGTGGAGTTTTCTTTTAAATTTGAATTAATTACAAGCTGGAAATTTTCACATAAAAATGTGAACTTCCAGCTTCTCTTGAAAAAGTCAAGGTGGTTTTCTTACTGGGCCTGCATGTCTGCATAGCTGTGATGGGCTGAGCCCAGTGGAGACAGAGCTCTTTAGACAGGCTTGTGCTCTGCTTTACCCCAGTCTCCCCCACTTCCTATTGTCTTCTGCCCTACCTGATACCTATTACCTGGCTGCCTTGGGACGCACGTGGAATTTTGACCCTTGGTTTATGGGTCCTACACTTGGTCTTTCAGATGATTTTCTTCTGTGGCCTGAGTCATTTGAATAAATCAAAACTTAGTTGAGTTCGTAACTATTTTAACAATAGTCAGCACTTCCATTTATTTTTATTTCTTGCTAAATATTTTCAAAAGCTAAAAGGATAGGCTGTTTAACCAGAGAAAAGCATCGAGTTTGCTATATTGTACTTACCCTAGGGTCTGGCAGCCCAGATTATTGAGAAAAAGCAGTGTATTGCTTTGAAAAGTAATTGACAGGTGACTTTGGAAAAACACAGTAGAATGGTATTGCATAGTTCCTTAATTTCTCTAAACCTTTTCAAACCCCTAGATTTTTAGGGAAAAACTTACTACTCTATAATGACATTGAAATAAAACAGTACTTTTTGGGGGGTGCCTGGGTGGCTCAGTCATTAAGTGTCAGCCTTTGGCTCAGGTCGTGATCCCGGGGTCCTGGGGTCGAGCCCCGAGTCAGGCTCCCCCTGGGGAGCCTGCTTCTTCCTCTCCCTCTGCACCTCCCCCTACTTGTGCTCACTCTCTCTCTGTCAAATAAATAAATAAAATCTTAAAAAAAGAAAGAAAGAAAACAGTACTTTTTAGATTTAATCAGACACTTAGAGATTAAAACATTAAATTCTCAGAAATGGGAAATAAACTCAGGTACACTGAAATTAAGAGGATAACTCATGAATTTCTTCTGGAATTTTATGTCAATTCTAGTAATGTAGACTCGCAGATGGAAAAAATGCTAAATAGGGGACACCTAAATAAAAAATATTAGCAGTATGAAGGCAAGGGGAAGGGAGAGAATGATTAAGAATGGAAATAGGGTATAACAAAGCCTGAGAAAGGAAAAAAAAATACAGAGAAAAGGATGATCACACTTAGCAGAAGAGGTGCTGCTCTGTCTGCCTGGCCACCCATCATGGCAGCCAGGGGGACCCGCAGTGGCTCAACCATGGCCCCTTCCTTCCTGTCCTTCAGGATGTGGTGGTGGTTGGGGAGGAGAACTTCACCACCCCTTGCTACATTCAGCTGGATGCAGAGGCTTGCCACCTCCTCACAGAGAACCTCAGCACCTACGCCCTGGTCGGGCAGTCCACCACCAAAGCTGCCGCGAAGCGCCTGAAGCTGGCCATCTTCGGGCCACTTTGCTGCTCCTCTCTCGAGTACAGTGTTCGAGTCTACTGTCTGGACGACACCCAGGACGCCCTGAAGGTCAGTCGCTCCTCTCCAAACGAACCTCCTTCTTTACTGTCACACCGAAGCCAGGCTGTGGCGTGGCGACACACAGCCAGAGAAGGTGGGTGTGTGTTTGTGTGCCCAAGTGCGCGAACCTAAGTGTCTGGCCCCAAAAGATGTTTTTAAGAAAATTAGACATTTCTCTGAGGCCATGCTGGTAAGTGAGTGGTTTCCATTGTGCTGATTCCTCCCAGGGGCTACTTTTGTTTACCTTCCTTGATTTCCTTTAATGAAAAATTTAGAAGGAGTAGAAGAATTTGGCAACGAGATGTGGATGGTAAATAAGGTGCTTCCATGTTTATCTCAGCTGTGTGCTTCCTATAAAAGGAATTGGCGTAATTGCTCACATTGTATGTTCCTCTTGTGTGCCACTTCATTTATATGCTTTCCCATTCTTTTTATGAGGACTGTGAGGAAGAGGGTTAGCATTTGACAACAGCCTGCTGCTTTGCAGAATAAATGAGCTTAATTCCTGGTGCTATTATTGTGACTCATTTTATCCCATTTGAAGCTTTAAAGGATATAGCAAGTGCCTTTGAAGAAGTTATGATCTAGAAGGAGGAATAAAAGAAGTATGCCAAGGACTGGGAGACAAGTCAGAGTCTGATAAATGGAGGAGACGAATGCAAAGTTCTATGGGAGGGCGTTCGGGGGCGGGGGAGGGGGCATAGTATTATTTTCAGGACATCTGAAAAGGAGCTAATATTTGAAATTGGCCCAAATGAAAGGCAAGGTTTGACCAGCTTAATGGGAACAAGTACAAACTATCTAGGTGAAGAGAACAGCAGGAAGAAACACAGAGGGAACAGTAAATACAGACTCCATACAAGCCTATTATTTCCAGTAAGCCCAGACTGATACATAGGAGTTTTATTGAGATGGACCTCAACTGCCAGAGAGAGGAGTTGATATTCAGTGTCTTGAGTTACTGGCGAGCCAGTGGAGAGATTTAAACCAATGCTTTCATTGATTCCACGATTGGAAATATACATTAGAAATATTAGTCTGGCATCAGTGAAAAGTTAGAGTCAAGAAGAAAAGCGTGGTAGATCTGGGCTGATGACGGAGGAGTGAGAAGAAGGGAAGTAGGTGTGGGAGGTCCCATAGTAACTCCTGTGGGACCAGGTGACCAACACTGAACGGGTGGAGCAAAAGATCAAGTGTGCCTCGAAGTGACAGTGGCACACTTAAGGGGCAGGGAGCTTTGGGGTGTGGATATGGTGACTTGGCTTTTGGAATATCAAGTTCGAGTTATGTCTTAGACATGAGGACAAAGATGCCCAAGGGACAGTTAGAAATATGGGTGTGGCTTTCTGGACTGAGAGCAAATCCTGAAGTAGAGACTCAGGAACCAATTATATAATATTGATACTTGTCCTCCCTGTAATCAGGGAGACTATCAAGGGAGAGCAGATGGATAAGACAAACAACAATGTTAAAAATAATGAGCAGTACCAAGAACTTCCTATGTGCTGGGCATGATTCTAAATGCTTATTAACGCATTTAATCTTTACAGCAACCCTGTAAGATACCATTAACCCCATTTTTCAGATGTTCAGTTCAGGGCAAAGAAAAATTAAGTAGTTTGCTCACACACCAGTTGAGTGGAGAAAGCAGGCTTCACGCCTGGGCAGCTGGCTGAAGCCTAGACTCCGCTCGTAGTGTGAATTGCTGAAAGAGCCACACCCCAGAACATAGGGGACCAGGGGGGGCCCTGCCGTTGCAGGGGTGTGCAAGGGCAGCCAGCAAAGGGAGCTATAGAGGGATGAGCACCCAGAAGAGGACGAGATGTGGAGGGAAAAAAAATGTGTCAAGGAAGCCAAGGGAAGAATTTTTTTCTACACATCAAAGTATTTCCTTCTGGAATTTCCATCCAGAAAGTTGTTCTGGGTCATGAAAGCAGAGTGTTGCAGGTTGGGTCCACGGAGGGGATGAGACACAGGATCTATTTTTGACGGGTGACCTTGTAAGAGTTTCTGATGTGGAATAAATGATGGGAACACGCAGCTGTGGTGTCAGGCTCATGGTTATTTCTTTTATGTTCCTTGCAGATATGCTGCTTCTAAGGCCCTGTCAGGATGGAAATCATCCTAGGCTTAAATTCTGCATAGGGAGAACTGTATTTGTAGTGGAACTGTGGGATCTGATTAAAGGCAAATCTTTTAACCACTCCAAGAAAAATCATTGTAAAAAGCGCACTATAGAAGATCTACATCATATTTGAAATGTTTGATGCATGTATTTTATATTCATTCACACAGTCTTATACTTAGGCATTCTTGACCTTTCTTCCCAACAGAAACACACAAATCCATGCAAAAAAAAAAAAGATAATAATTCAATAAAATAATTTTAATTGTTTTAATTAGTGAAAAGAAATGCAAATAGTCAACACCAAGAAAGATTGACAAACAGGTTTAAGCAGTGAAAACAACCCAGAAGCATTCTGAATCACGGTCAGTGCTGTCCAAATAGACATTTATAAATTCTCAGCATCTGGGGATCCAGCACTTAGACCGAAAAAAATATGAATAATGGATAAGGCTTTCTTGTACCTCATGGCCTTTTAATAATGTAAAAATACCAAAATCCTATTTATAGGTAAACGGTCTATCCAACATACTGAAGAGGCAATTAGTTCAGTCCCAGCAACACTGCCTAACACCCACACTTGAATTGGAACCTTGGTGCTGATTTTCAGAAAGGCTCTTTCTTACCTGAATTCTGCCTTCTTGGCACCCTGCCTGCCAAGGCCCACCAGTCTCTGCCATCTCCCTGCTTCTCTAACCACCATTGCCCATAAATAACCCCTTTCCAAACACCTCTTCCTCCTGCAAGCCCACTTGCTCCCCACACATGCCCTTCTTGAATCAGTAGTTCTCCAGCCCATGCACAGAGGACTCAACTGGGGAAGCTTTAAAAAAGACTTACTCCAGGCTCCCAACCCATAGGTTCTGATCTAATTGCTCTGGGTATTGGGGTTTTTCTTTGAGAAAAGAAAAACCTGGGTTATTGTGTTGTGCAGCTAAGATTAAGAATGGTTCTCCTAAACACTTGCACGGATCTTTTTGGAACTTTAACCCTACTAAGGACAAACTTTCCTACATCCTTGAATCATTCTCTCCACCATCCCTTCACCTGCTCACATAAACTGCGCCTGGATCTTCCAAGTGACACAGCCTCTCTCACAGCCCCCGCGGTGAAGACCACCCCTTCGAACTAACCACAAGGCTGAGAGGAAGAGTTCCAGTACTTCTCATCACCACTTCTGGGGCATTGTTCTACTTGGAGGGCTGGCTTTTTCTACTGCTCTTCTTATTCTGTTGCTCTGTTATTCATTATTGATTTCGGTTTCTTAGCCCCAAATCCCCTAGTCCCTATCCCCAGCCTAGCAGTACCTGCCTCAGGGTCTTTCTTTCTACTCATTTTATTCCTATCTTCCTCTCAGATTCAAACTCACCATGAATCACAGTTCTTTGCCCCAAGTTATTCTGGTAACCTTCACATCATTCCCACATTATCCATCCGCCAGTGTAGACGTGCTCTGGATTTCACCCTCATTAGCATCGCCACCTGCCGAGATCCCCACCTGTGAAGCTCCCCATTTCAAGCCACAACATCTGACTTTCCATCGCTTTCATGCACAAAAGGCACGCAGGCCACCCTTGGTTCTTAAGGAAGACCTCCCTCCATCTTCTCTGATGTCCTGGTCCACATACCCTCCTCTGCCCTTCTCCAAATCTCCGGGGAACTCACTTCCACTCTAAATCTCTTGCCAGCTGGAGCTACCGCAGGTTTTTCTCATTTCCACAGCTAAAGATGACTGCCCCTGAACAAGCCCTCTAGGTCTACTTCTAGGTTGTTGAGTTGCTCTGACAATCATAAATGTCTGCTTGAGTCTCTTCTATTCTCAAGGCAGCTGCCCTATGCCTCCCCTGCTTCTCCGCACTCCTTCCACTTACCCTTCTCGATTCATCATATCTCACAGGGTGCTTCTTCACGGTCTCTCCTGCTCTCCGCACATCCCTGTTTATACAGCAGCCCCTTCATAATCCAGCCCCTTCTCTAATCCAGCTCCTCTACCCCCCTCCCATCTCCAGCGCAGTAAATGGCACCCACAGCGGGTCTCCCCAGACCTGATATTTTCTTCCAGTTACCACTGTGTACTGGGGACTGCTTTGGCATTGCAGAAACTCTCAAGGGGGAGCCCAGCGGAGCACTCTTTCTCAGAGGTTCAGAACTACACAGTCTGGAGAGCTACTAGAAAAATCTGTGGCCCAATGTCTGGAAGTGAACATACCGAGAATATTAATGCCCACTTTTTATCATATGTGCTTACTGTCCATGTGGACGGGGAGCAAAAAAAAAAAACCTCCACATCAGTCAGTTTCAAGCAACCCTGGTGCATCCTTTCATCTCCCCGCACAGCTCTTTGAGTTCAACAGCCCTGGCGACACTTTCCTGAGTTTTGTTAAGCCTGCAGGCAAAAATGGTCACCTGAAACTTAAAAGCTGTGTTTAATAGTTTGGAAGCATTGCCAAGAATTAGGATGCCCGAGGTGAGTGCCTGAATAAAAGTCAAGGCTTCTGGGAGACCGTTCTTTCATCCATCTTTTGGGTGGGTTTTTCTCCCATGCAAGTGCTTCAAGGAGCAGCGGGAGCAACGTGAGGGTGAGTTCACATAGAGAGATAAAGATGCTAAGAATTGTACAAACCGTTTAGAGGCCATTCTAGGCTCACATAGAGAGGTCCCATCTATTGTAAAGATGGAGTTGGGTCAAAGATGACAGTTTTGGGGGCGCCTGGGTGGCACAGTCAGTTAAGCGTCTGCCTTCGGCTCGGGTCATGATCCTGGGGTCCAGGGATCGAGCCCCGCATCGGGCTCCCTGCTCATCAGGGAGTCTGCTTCTCCCTCTCCCTCTACTCCTCCCCTGCTCATGCTCACTCTCTCTCTCTCTCTCGCTCCCTCTCTCTCT